TTTGGGGTTGTGGGTTGGATTAACTCAGCACTCATGCAGAGGGGCAAATGAAAAAGGGATTTAAGCACCCAAAGGAGCTCGGGGCTGGGCGGGAGCTGGCAGCAATGCTTCAGCCCGGAGCTTCGGCTGCCGTGGGGGGGCAAGACGCGTTTCTGGGCCGTTTTCCCATTATTTTATCCATTTACATCTCGCCAGCAGCCCGCCGGTGTGCTCACACCTGCCGTCTGCAGCTCGCTGCCTTGCTGGCCCCCACCTCGTGTTTGCAAGGAGTTTTTCACAAAGCAGTCCCTTGTAAAGCTCTTGGCCGAGCTTGCGTTTAAGAGGGTATGAAAAATCGCGCTTCAGAAATAGCGAAGCAGAAACGCAGATCCCGGGAGACGCCCCGAGATCCCTTGCAATGTCAAAATGGGGTTTCTCGAAGTTGAAATGGGGATGCTGCATGTCAACTCACCCAGAAAGTAGGGTGTCGTGACCCCAACACCGTCCTGGTCCCCATGAAACTGCCCTGTCAACCGGGGCCAAAAAGCTGTTGGGTGTCATTAACCATGAGGGTGATGGGACCGGGTTTGGGGCCACTCCCAGTTTGGGGCCCGTGTCCCCCACCTTCTGGGGAGGCAGCCAGAGCACCAGTGGGCCACCCCATAGCCCCCAAATAAATGCCACCAGGCCCCTTGGCGGAGGCAGGGAGGTACACAAATTGCTCCAGCAAAGTTAGAAGTGAAATAGCAATTTACCCCCCCCAAATGCCTTAATTAACCTATAGGACTGGGATCCTCATTTTCCATCTATTTCCCCTGTCCCCTACTGCTACAGCCCTGGGTTGCACTGATGGCATGGAGCAGCCTTGCACAAACTCATTTATTTTCTCTTTTCCTGGCAGGGAGGAGTCGAAAGCACAGCCGTTTATGTGGCTGGTCACCAAGATCTCCAAGCAATGAACCGGGTCGAAGGGAGCTGCACAGCCTTAAAAATGAACTTTGCGCTTGGTTGGATGAACCTTGGGTGGAAAAACTCCAAAAAAAAAGCCATAAATTATGAGAGCGAGTCTTCCTCAGCGCTGGGACCTGCAGAAATACAGTGCGTGCCGTGGTCTACCTCCACAGTATTTTATGGGTGAAGGAGGGGTTTCCTTATGACCCACGCCGAAAAAAAAAAAAATCTGGTATTTCAGTCTTGGACAACACCCAAGGATTGTCTCAGAAATAGCTCTCATAGCTTGCAGGAGCACAAGGCGCAGATTTCCGCCTCAGCAACGTGCCCCTTTCCCCCGTTCCCACCCGCCCATGACTCACTTGAACCCGGTTACTTTGAATTTCCTTCCCCTGATTTTCTAAGGAGGCTTTGGCCGGAGGACAGGCTGCCCTCCTGCGGCATTTCAAGGTGATTTGGGTGAAAGGAGAAGGTGCCTGCGGCCTCCTGAGACTCAAGGGGCTCTTTGCTTCCCTCTGGTTGGGGTGTGGGAACGCTCACTCGCCCTCTGCCAGGAGAGGACACGGCGCTCTCCCATTAAGCACAGCTTAAATACATTTATTAACCCAAGCTCCTGCTCACGGTATAGATGGAAAAAGGCATCCGGGGGATGGGAGGAGACGGAGCCCCCAGGGTGTGCAAGAGAAACAGCGACCTGGAGGTAGGAGGGATGGAGCTAAGGGTCACCCATTAACCACGAGGAAGATCTTGGGGTTTTAATGAGGATGAAACCAAGAAAAGCTACGGAAACGCAACAGCACCTCTACATGAGGTTCATCCAAGAACCTAGAGGTGATGGAGGGTGCAGGTTGAAGAAGGTCCCAGCCCAGAGGAAGATCCTGGGCGTTTGGAAGCCAACAGGACCATTTTCCCTCAAGGAAGGCCCGTCGGCCAAGAAGATGAAGCCACCAAGGAATAGGTTGAGCTCCCGCTGGTGGTGATGCTGCCAAGCCACTGCCCTCCCCGTGCCTCAGTTTCCCCAGCTGCGCAGGAGAGAAGAGACCCTTTGTGAGGTGCTTTGAGATGCGAGGATGAAAACTGTGCTCACATCCATTGGATATTATTTAAAAAAAAAAAAAAAAAAAAAAAAGCAATACAATACAAAAGCATCTTACAGAGAACGTAAACTCATCAATGGACCTTTTGTCCCTGGGTTAGAGGCACCAGCTGCAAAACTGCATCTTCTGCTACAGGCGCCCACGCCTGGTCTTTAAAGACCAGCTTGTGTTGCACAAGCATGCGCCACTTAAACTGATGCTCCGAAAGCAAGCAGGCTGCAGAGCCTAAAATTTGCTGTACGAGCAGAAATCTCGGCAACCTAACCCAAGGGACCAAGAGCAGGAAAACCAGACCCCCAAAGCATCTTCCCACCTCTGGTGGTTTGAGATGAGGAGGAGGTTTGGGATGGGGGCTGGCCAGAAGGTCCCAGAACCCAGAGGGATTTCCATCAGGAAAAAGCTAAACCACCAATGGTTTAATCCCAAACTCCCTGGAGATGGGATTTGCAGTGCCCCACGCGACAGGGGATGATTTATGCCGCCATAAAGTGTGCACAGAGCGACGCCAAATAGGGATGTTGCGTCTCTTTCCACCAGCAGAAAAGGCAACACAAGAACGTTAGGTCGCAGCGAACACATTCCCCCACCCAAGTGGTGGGGAAAGGGCAGAAAATGAAGAGCAGGGGAGAGCGGGGTGGGAGCAGAGGTGGATCGAAGCAGAGGGAACGGGGGAAAAGGGCTGGGAATCAGCCAAGCTAAAACCATGCAGTAAAATAGCAAAGTGGAGGGAAAAAAAAAAAAATAAAAATAAATAAACCGAAAAGTAACATACGGAGAAAGCTCTGGGCTGAGTCCTTTGTAAAAACGTCCCATCCTTCCCCGCCGCGGCGTGCAGAGGCACGGGCTGAGCTCCCCTTTTCCTCCCCTTTTCCTCGGCTGCTGCTTTTCCTCCCCTCCCAACCCTTTGAACCGAGCTCTCTTCCCGCTGCACCAGCCTGGAGACGATGACGTGGAGATCTCCACCAGGGAAGCTTCCCAAGATGGGAGAGCTCCTCCGAGTCCGACGCTGCAAACCCATCGTTCCCCGGGACGCCAAGGATTTCTTTCCTTTCCTTTTCTAGCTTCCTTATAAGCATCCAAAAAAAAACAAAGGCCAGGGGGAAAGAAAAAAAAAAAAAAATAGAGAATGCAGCAACGCTTTCAGGAGCAATGCTTAGGGAAAAAAGCAAATAATTCAAACTGTCTAAGGGTTTAGGGCTAATAACAGCAAAACTAAGAGCTCCTTGGAGCAGGAGATGAGAGACAGAAAGCAGAGGTACTGCCACGGGATAAGAAATCCTTCCTTCTCGTTAGGATTTTTCTTTTCCTTTCTGTTTAAACAGGGGTGAAACAGAAAGGAAAGTCGGCTGCAAACGTGACCTGTCCTTCCAGCTGCAGTGATATACTGCAGCAGCATCAAAACCCTCTTTTTTTGCACCCCCCCCCCCCAATTTTTACGTCAAAAAGAACAGCCCAAAGCAGGGCTTGTTGCTCAAATTTTACATTTTTAGTATTTTATGGTGGCTGGGGGGGGGTGGGGGGGTGTGTGGTTTCCTGCCAGCCCTATCCCAGACCCTCTTCATCCCTTTGCTCCCTTCCCAGCCCCATTTTGGAGGGAAGGGGGGGGGGGGGGAGCAGCTGGAAACATCTGCAGCTAACAGCTGGAAGGGAAAACAGCTGGAAGGGGACAGAGGGGACATTTGCCTCCTCCCCCCAGCCAGAGGGTTTTGCCCCCCAAGCCGGTCTCTGGTTGAAGGGGGGGGGGGGGTGGGTTGATGTTACCCCACGCTCAAACACAACAAGCAGGGATTAAATAATTGCCCCTGTCTGGAGGCTGCAACCTTTGGCGTGTTGTTATCTGTTCCTTCACCTTGCCAGCTCACATGATTTTATGGCTGATCTCACAATAATTGACGTTTTCCTTTAAAGGCCCCGTGCTACCCGGCAAGATTTGGCTTCCAGGAGTCTAAATCAGCAAGGTTTTGCTTGCTGCAATTCAAGAAGCCCTCCAGAATTTAGCAAATCCAGGAGAAAGACGGCTCTAAACCTTTAAAATCTGGTGGTTCTCCAGCCTCTTAATCTTACAGGGACCCAGTGCGTGTCCCTGGGCATTTCTTAAGTAGCACCCGTTGTGTGAAACTACTCAAAATAGCTTGTTTTTCCTGGTTTTAAGGAGAAGGGATGTCCTTGCTCCCTGGCACAGCTGGGCTATTTACTTTTTCAAGTGTGTTTCTTCTCTCCGGCTGCTTTAGGGGAGGAACAACCTGGGAAACAGCTTGGTTGACCGTGCAGGGGGGCTGAGTTCCCAGAAGGGTTTTTTTCAAGAAAAAAAAAAAAAAAAAAAAAAAAATTACCTCATAGGATGTTCCAGGGATGGAGGAGGAGGGAGAAGGGAGGCATCGCCGCAGCGCTCGCTCCTGCAGCTGCTGCTGCCCTCGCCACGGTCACAAGCCTAAACTTCAGCCCAAATTGGAGGTTTTCAAGCAGATTTGGGGCCAGGAAAACACCTTCGCCAGAAACTGTCGAGGGAAACCCTCCTGTAGGCGCCCAGCTCGAAAACAACTCTAAATGCGCTCCTAAAATAATTCAGCCTCGCTGTTTTGGACCTGGAGCAAAGTCTCATTCAGCCTTGTTTAAAACAGAGCCAGTGTTTTGCTTGAAAGTAAATTTTAAGGGGTTGCCCAGACCCCGACTGGAGTTGGGTTTTTGTAGCTTAAGCACATATTTAATACAAAACTTTTTATGGGCATAAAAAGGAGACAATCTGCGATAGCTCTTGATGTTGACTTTGTACATAAAGTGAGAGATAAAAAAAAATATATCTAATATATATAATATAATAGATACAAAATATATTACAAGGATCGATGAAAGAGTGACATGGCCCCCCCCGGATGAGGAACAGAGCATCCTTTTGTCCCCAAATCCCCAGTTTCTCCCAACCAGTGGTACCCCAGTCGCGCATCGGTAAGGAAGCGGTTAGACGAGCCCTACCTTTCACAGCCAGGAAAAGAAAAAAAAAAAACCAAAAAAAAAAAACCAAGGTGCGCCTGAGCTGCGGGTCTTCAGCGCATAACCGGAGACCTTCCAGGGGGGAAAAGCCCCGCAGCACGACCGGCCTCAGCCCTGCAACAAAGCCAAGGAGGAGGCGATTATTCCCGGGCGTCTCTCTGCCAGGCACAATACGGCAGCGTTTCAGCGCCCGCGCTCAATGCCGGCATTGTCCCCCCTGGAGCCGCGGCTCCGGGGTGCGGCGGCGCAGGGCGAAGCTTTGCGAGCTCCCAAAAGGCTTCGTCCCACCAGTGGAGAGGCTTGGGGGACTTTGTTTTCCTCCCAGGGCAGGATAACAGACCTGGGGATGGGAGCGATCTCAGTTTTTGCCTCGCCAACACCGTTATGCTATTGCCTGGGGTGAGGTTCCTGTGAGAGAGGGGGGAAGGAGGGTCTTACATAAAATATATCAGGGGTACGAAGGTCGTGGGAAGATTGGGTTGAGATCGGGTGCTGACAGCTCACTGATAAAACGAGGGGGATGCTCGGGGTGGTGCTTTGCAAGGATCCTTCCAGGGTCTTTCAATTTGGATGCTGCACCCAGCGGAGAAGGGGCTGAGGAGCTGGAGAGGGGCTGGTGGTGGCCACCGAGACGCTCAGGGCTGCAGAATGGGATGCTGAGCTGGGTCTGATCAGCCCCAGAAGAGACAGGGGGGGGGTCCTCGCTGAGAAATGCAACTATTAATAGGAGGGTGGAGAGAAAACAAAGCCCAACTCTTCTCAGAGGCACCGGGTTTGCTGCAGCCAAGACGATGCAAAGCCACGAAGGAAGATCCTGCCTGTCTTTAGAAACACCAAGAGCTGCGGCAAGGCCGGTGAAATTTCTTCCCTGTGACCACATTGGCAAGGACAAGGGCAATCACAGCTTGGATTTCAGCACTAAAGCTAACAAAGAGCCCAGAGGTGCTACCACGGCCGTGCTGCCTGCTTTATTTTTGCTCCTACCTGCCAGCCCCGGTGTCTGCAGGTTAGGAGCCGGTCCTAAACCCGATGGGGTGAAGCTGCAGTGTGATGGCCCCGAGGAGCAGCAGCACCCGTGCTTTGGAGGGAAGAGGGGGTGAAAAAAAACAAACAACAAAAAAAAAAAAAAAAAACAAAAAAACCCAACTTGGTGCATTCAGAAAAATATCTAGAAAGGCAAATCAGATGGGGAAAAGTTGCTGTGGTGGAGCTGGGCTGCTCCCTGGGGAGGCTGGCAGGGTGTGGGCAGCACTTGGGAGCCCGAGAGGGGAGGAGGGAGCAGAAGGGACGCTCGGCCCAGGTTTGAAGGCACGAGGATGAAGACGCTGGCCGAGGTGACTCCAGTCCTCGTGGCTTGGTTGGTCTCCGCAGCTCAAACCACTGGAACAATGAGCAATCGGGTACCGACCCGAGGAAACGTGTGAGCTCATCCTCCTCGCTCAGGGCAACGGGCTGACAAACTCTCACCCCACGGGTACCGGCCGTGGCTCCCCAGGGAGAGCGGTTACCCCACCGGCGTGGGCAGTGACACCAGTGTCCCCTCTCCCCCTGGGTCCGGGCGTTGCTTTTCTCTCTCTCTAGTCTGGGAGGCTCCCCGTGGGACCAGCACCACGAGCAGGGATGCAGCTCCAGTACAGTCCCCTGCACTTCCAAACCAGGAATAATTACAAGCCTCCCCCTTTTTCCTCATCCTCTACCTAAAATACCCAGGTCAGCACACTGCTGGTTGTAACAGGAGGGACTGCACCATTGCACGTGGCTTTTTGGAGAGTTTTCCCAGCAGGGCTCAGTCCCCATCACCACGTAGGCACTTTGCTTTCCATCAGCAAGGCTCGCTTGGTAGAAAATAGGGGAAGAAACCCCAGTGCTTGAAGGGAGTATCTGCAACTTTATGCTGGACTGAGGACTTGGCCACCACAGGGCTGATGGCAGGGGGGTGGCTGCCCCATCCTTCCCTGTGCCTGTGGGTCCCGGCTCTCAGGGGTCTCCTCCCCACGTGGGTTCACTAAAATAATCCCCTCTATGAGGCAATGAAATAAAAATACCTAAATTCTTTGAGCTCATCCTGGGCACCGGCATTTTGCCTTTTCTGCCTCCTTGCTTTTTATCAGCTCCCCCCATCTCTCGCAGCCGGGATGGGGAAAGTAAAAGCCAGGAAAACATCCTGTTCCTCCCTCGTTTTGTGCCTGGGTAGAGAGAAATCCAGGAGGATGCGTCCCCGATTTCACAAACATCCGATTGTACCCCTTGCCCGAAGCACACAATCTGAATTGCAGATGGCTTCTGCCTATTTACGGGGCTGGAGCCACATCCCGGACAAGCAGAGTCACAGCTGCTATTGCAAGAAAAAGCTGAGCCTGTACCGGATTGCTCTTTTTTTTTTTTTTTTTTTTTTTTTTTTCTTCCCATTTTTAGAGCCTGGGTGCAGGGGCTGAGGTCTAAAGGAACGCGGGGTCGATGCCAGCGTTTCTCCCCGGCCGGTGCTCCTCGTGGGATGACACAGTTGCACACCCAGCCCATGAAGCTGACCCAAATCCAGCGCCCAGCAAGGCAGGCAACAGCCCAGCTCCTGCTCCAGCTGCCAGAGCAGCTCTTGCCCTCGTGGAACCAACAACGCTGGAGACACCGTGATTCCTACAAGCACCTTGGAGCATCCCGTAGCTCCCCAAAACCCTGTGCTAGAGAGAAAACTCAATACTCCCTCACAATTTGCTTTCCAGCACCAGCATGCTCAAGGGAAAAGAAGCCCCAGGGGAACGATGTCTTGGCCAAGGGGTGCTGCCACGAGCTGGGTTGGGTCTCACCAGGGTTACTTGACCCCAGCTGTGGTTTTAGGGGACCTACCTGTTGTTGGTGTCGGTGGGTGTCTCGGCGTGGGGCAGCAGCAGCTGGGACGTGGTGGTCACCTCGCTGTCCTAGAGGAAAGCGCAAAAAGAGCGTCAGCATCCCCGGGCAAGGACCACATCCCCTGGAGTAAGACCCAATAGAAACCCACCTAAAAACCCAAGAAATCCCACGATCCAGCACGGCTGGATCCCTCAGCTGGGGAAAGCCATCCCCAGGCTGCCGGAGGATTTCCTAAAAGACATTTGCTGCAAACCGATGGAAAAGCAGGCGCTGGAGACAGCGGGGAAAAAAAGTGGGTTTTGCCAGAAAAATTATTAACCTGTGGCCCCCCAAGCTGGGGGCCAGGCAGCACTAACCCCACTGACACACTGAACTCTCCAAAAGGTCCTAAATACATGCGAGGAGTCCCGGCTGGCTTACAATAAGGCAATAAGGTCTTTTTTTTTTATTTTTTTCTTTTTCCCCTCCCCTCGTTGCTTATTTTATATGCTGGCCGCCCAATTATTTCCCAGGCCGGCTCTGCCCCGCGGTGCCTTTTTGCAATTGCGTGGAAGGAAGCTTGAAAATCAGGGCTGCCTCCAAAAGCACTGGGATGCCAAAAAAAAAAAAACAAAACAAAACAAAAGAAAACACCAAACCCCATATTCTGGGAGAAATTCATCCCCACAGTCCCATGGGGCCAGGTGATGAGGTTTTGGGGATAACTAAATAAAACCACATTTGACAGCGTTAGCAACCTCTTGTCCTTCATCTTGCCCATTTTCACCCCAAACCTGTTGGTTGGTATGTCCAGCGCCTTCCTGCCTGGAAGATCTCCTAGGTGGTTCCCCCAGGACCAGCATTTTTAAATCACAGAAAAATCCCTCCAGGGAGACTCCTGTCCCCTCACGTTGCCCCAGTCTGAGCCCGCCCCCACATTTTGCAGTTGTGGGACCCCAAATTCGGTGGCCGCCACAACCGCGATGCTCAGCGTGGCCCTTGCCTGCTCCAGGGATGTGGGGGATGCCTGCGCCCCGAGCCGGTATCAGATCCAGAATTTTATTTATGTTTGCAACGAAATAAAATAGACGCCTCGTTTTTGAGGGCGGAGAAATGAAACGGGTTTCAACAGGTGCCTGCGCCCGCCCAGCGATGAGATTCAAGGCGCAGCGTGGCTCCGCCGAAACACCCAACGCGGAGAGGTGTGTGTGTGTGTGTGTGTGTGTGTGCAGGGGGGGGGGGAAACTGCCAACAGCTGCTAAAAACCAACTCACAAGCCATGCTCGCCAGCCAGCCCAGCTCCAACAACCCGCTCCCGGTCCCTCCGCCACCCATCGCTGTCCCCACGGCCACCAGCGCTTCGGTCCGCCAGACGCCGCGACCGCCGCTAAAAGCAGGTCGCCCCATATACAGTGGGTTATTAAAGGCTTCCCTGTTACCACCAAAGACGGGATGTGGGTGATCTAAATTATTTTATATATATATATTTTTTTTTTTTTTTTTTTTTTTGCCCCCCTCACAGCTGAAGCATCACCCCATCCCCTTCCCGGGTACCACTCACCGCTGCCGCCGGGACACGCGAAGGCTGGGCTGGGGGCTGGCGACCACGCAGCTCTCGGGGTGTCAGCAGGAGGTGGGTTGGGAAGGCAGCCGATGGGAATTTCCATCTGGTGACAGCTCTGCGGGTCCCGCCGCAGGGGGGGGGGGGGGGGGGGGGGGGCCGGGGACCAGCGGGCGGGTGCGCGTCCTTGCACCTCGGGCGGACCCCGGGGGCCCTTCTCCGCTTTCCCCGCTGTCGTTTCTGCCATCTAGAGGGGATGTTTCCCCATTGCAAACGCGTCCCTCGTAACGGAAGCCCGCGGCTCAGTAAAAATAAAATAAAATAAAATAATAAAATATAAAATCAAATCCCAGTCTGTCACTCGCCACCGCAGGAAAAGCCTGTCTGCGGCAACTTGCGCCGTCAGGGTGGGGAGAGCTGGATGCAGCAAACAACCCAGAAAATATTTGGGGAGCATTTTTCTGGTGGTGTAAGCAACACCAGAACCTCCTAACTTGAAATTCTACGGCGACAGGAAGGATTTCAGAGTCGAATCTAGGAAAGGTATATCTAAAACAGCCCGAGAGAGGGAAATAATCAAAAACAAATCATCAAATCGTCGTTCTAAATGCAAGTGAAGTATTAAGAGAGTCGGGCAAGGTTTGGTTCGGCCTGCTGCTACCCTTAACGAGGAGGACGGTGCTTAGTTAATTAGGTGGCCTGGACCAAGAGGTCCTGTAAGCATGCAGCTGGGCAAACTGGGAGATGAGCAACCTGGTGTAGTGGAAGGTGTCGCTGCCCACGGCAGGGGGCTTGGAAACGGATCTTTAAGGCGCCTTCCAAGCCAAACCGTTCTAGGACGCTGTGATATGAAGAGGATGAATCTCAATCATTGAGTTTAAGCTACTACCATGCCCTGGTAAAACAAGGTTTCGGTGAGGTGATGTCACAGTCTGGCACTGCACGGTGTCAGCTTGATCTGGGTTCGGTTTGGGGCGGGGGACACAGTTGGAAGCTGCGGGGCGGCAGCTCTGCCGGACTCATTTCTCTCAAAGTTACATGAAAGCAGCGAGGTTGAGGCTGGAGAAAGCTGGGGAAGGGAAGTGTGAAGCGTCCTCCCAGCCCCCCGCCTCAGGCAGAGCTCTCCACATCTCCAGTCAGAGACCAGGGCGAGGGACAGGGGCTAGATCAAAAGGATCCTTCCCCTAAGAAAAGGGATTTATTGCTGCCCTCAAGCACCTCAACCAAAAAAAAGCCACACAGCTCGGGAAGGAAACCTTTTCTCCTTCATCTTCTAGGTGTAAGAGCATCTAAAAATCTACCTGCCCCTAAACTCACGTGGAACAAGTACGCCTGAATAACAGGATTGCTGCCAGGATGGCAGAGAAGCTCACAGTGTTCTTCCCCGATCGCACCCTGCAACTGTTCCCTTCTTCCAGCTTATTCAACGAACGCACCTGTTGGCAAGGTTAGGGCAGCCGAGCTACACCGGCTCCGCCACAGCGACACAACCCAACACCTCAGAGGTGACTAGAAACCCTGCCGGAGGAGCTGGAGCCAGATCTGCAAAAAGCACCAGAGCGCCAGCAAAAGGCTGCCAAGCCTTGTGACATCGGGTGCCAGCAAAGATCCCTCCGTCTGCCGGTGGCAACGGGGAGGGGAGAGGGTCGCGTCGACCTAAAGAGCTCCCGCCTCGTCGAGGGGCTTTTGCTGGGACAACACAACACGGGCTTCCACGAATGTTTCAGCGGGACCCCAAGCCACGTGGCCGGGGCTGCAGCTGCCCCGACGGCTCCCCGCAGGACGGCTCTGCCCTCCGGCAGCCGCCCAACCGCTCCCCGAAGCGCCTGCCCGAGGTACAAACCCGGGAGAGCAGAGGCCGAGCGGGCAGCGAAGAGAAACACAAGCGTGACGGGGTGAGGCGGGGGGGATGGGGTGTGTTTGGTTTTCTTTCCTTTTAATAGAAACATCCTAGAGTAACCTGGGAGGAGGATCCGCCTAAAGGGAATGTCTCGCGGAATAAAACGGGCGTGACGTGCTTGGGGAATGATGTGCAAAGTTAAAATGTCCACGCAGGCTCAGCTCAGGACTTCCTGGATTCTTCAGTCTTCTTGATTTCCTGCAAGATCGGGAAAACAACTGAGCATCTGCCACCGTTTGGGAACGACTCATCGTTTCACAGCTTTGGAGACCACGAGCAATCATCTCCTCAGACCAGCTCCACAGCATCACAGGACCGAGCCCAGAATTTACACACGAGCCTTTAGGGACAAGGCAAGGTTTAGACTTAAAGGCTCTTCGAAAACAGCACGCCCCTTCCATACCGCCCAGGGACGCACATTTATTTCGCTCCCAACCCAGCGTCACGCTGGCTCCTTTTCCCCACTTTTAGGCCACTGATCCAGCATCGCTCCTGCGCGACCTACGCTCAGCGACGTCACTCAGCCGCCCAAACCAGACCAAGCGTGGGCACAAGGTCACATCTCTGCGGCTGCCTACGGACAGAGCCTCACCTGCTCAGCCTCCAGGTCACGCCTGCCTGGAGAGGGAGGGAGGCAGAAAAGCCCTGAGAGACTCACCTCCAGGAGCATCTCCTTCAATTCAGAATAGGCTTTTTCTAAATCATCGTTAATAATGACCAAGTCGAACAGGCCAGGCTCTTTACCTAAGGAAGGAGATGAGGACAGAGGAGTTAGAGAACACGTTCCTTCCCCGTCTCACCTCTCGTGCACGACCCGAGTTCCTGGGGCATTTTAATATTATGATTTCAGCCGCTGCTAACGCGCTTCTCCGCCCACCGCCCACCAGGAACTGCGGTGGGAAACGATGCGGGACGGTGCTTAGATCAAACTCAGCTGATGTCCAAGCCCCGCCAGCGCTCCTTGGAGAAAAACAAGTCGGATGTTGATGCAAAAAAAAAAAAAAAACCCAGCTCCCAAATCACCAACGCATCCCCTCTCCCCGTGTGCATCACTCAAAGGGCTCTGGACTTACTGAGTTCCAAATCTACACGGGCTGCAGACAAACGCTTCAGTAAACTTTCTTCTGTCTCAGTCTTTCGGTCACGTAGTCTTTTTTCCTAAACCCAATGTCAAACGCATTAAAGAAAAGTCTCTTCCCAATGCTGCACACAGAAACCACCACCCACCCCCGCAAGCCAGGGGCTGTCTGCCACGTGCCATGGCCGGCGACCACGGCCACGTGAGGTAACCCTCTGCAAAGGGCAAGAGGCCTCATTTCCAGCCCAGAGCAAAAAACTGAGTTTGGGCTCAAGATCCCCTATCCAGAGCTCAGGTTTCAAGTCTATTTTTCCCTGTATATACATTTTTTTTTTTTTTTTTTTTTTTTCCTCCCCACCCTCCTTGGCACTGCTGGGAGACGAAATCTCCCTGCTGGGCTCTGGCGCCTGGTGCTGTTGGCTTCCTCCTCCACGAACTCGACGTGAAACACGAACAGCCTGATCTACTGAGAGCAAGAAGGGAGAGCCTCGAGTCGGGGCCTTCGCTGCTGCCCACTCCCTTGCATGGCTGCAGCAAGTCACGTACACGTGTCGACATCCCTCCCTGAACCACGAGAATGATGCCGCTTCCGCGAGGGGCACACTGCAATCATCATTATACAGGGCCCCACAAAACCTGGGGGGGGGGGGTGGGGGGGTGTATAGGATTTCTGGTGCTGCAGAGAACCAGCCTCCCTCCGTTTCACTGGAATGGCTGGAGGCGAGTCGCAGCAGAAAATTCTTCTCTCCTCAGCGCTGAGCACAACTAATGGATCTCAAGGCTGGCCACGCTGCCGTGGAGCCTGTAACCCCGTGCAGGAAACCACACCAAGGCGTGGAAACTGTACAGGAGGGACTCAAAAAACAGTGCACGGGAAGATTTAGCCCCGAGAGCCCAGCTGGACTGGGCAGAGGTAACGGTGTGGCTCAGAAGTGCCCTCCCCCACCTATTCTACGGCTCTTAGCAACATACAGATGGAAACAACAAGGGGGGGAACCCCCATCGCTTCAGAGCAAGGCGCTGATTACCTCTAACTGCCTAACGGCAAAGGAAGGCGGTCGCTCACCAAGATGTCTATGGACGGAGGCTGGATGAAGATGTAGATGGGGTTCAGGTCTGTCCTCTTGATGTTTTTCACGCCCTGGATGTCGATGTCAAGGACGCAGATCTGGTTCCGGGCTTGAACAGCCTGCACCGCACCTTTACTGGGGACAGAGCAAATTGGGGAGGGATCAGAGCGGCCAGCCACAGCCGTGGGGGTTTGGTGTGTGTCCCCCTGTGCCCAAATTGTGGCAGGAGAGAAGACAAAGCCTGCTCTGCTCTTGGCTAAACAGTTTCTCTTTCCCCCGAGCATCCCCTGGGGTGGAGCAGGGACCTGCTGTCTCCTTCTACAGAGGCGAAACCACAATGGAAGGTGTGGAAATCGATAAATGAGCGACTATCCCAGGAGCAGAGTGGCTCAGGTACAGTCCTTAAAGCTCCTGCCTTTGACAAACACAAGAGCAACCTTCACCGAAGAGCAAAAGCACCGAGAACTCTTCTTCCCCAGAGATTTCTGTACCCAGGCGCCCTCCTGAAGGATGCCTGATGGAGATGGATGCTCCTGTCTGGGTCGCGAGATGTGTAATTCAGAAAATCTTTTTTTTTAAATGGTGGCTCTCCCCTGTCGTTCAAGACGGTATCTCTTCCCCAACACAGGGGAACTGCCTCGAGCTTGTTCCTGAACACCTACAATTCGACCTTGAAAAGCACCAGTGCTGACCCTCTCCCAGTGCACAGGAGGTACCTGGCCCGGTTACTGGGTAGCAGCCTTCTTGGGGGAATTTCTCAGTCAGTATTTGCACAGCACCAGGCCCAGATTCTCCTTCAAGCCAGCGCTCCGTGGCACGATGGCCAGTGTGGAGAGAAGCCCTGCCAGGAGCTCAGGTGCGGCGCTGCAGGTTTTGAGATCATGAAATCCGGAGGTCAGGCAAGGGCAGCAAAAATTAGAGAGCAAACCCTGCCCTACAGCCAGCCTCCAACTCGCTCAATTCCCTGCCCATACCCAGGGCACCTCTTTGGATGTTGCCCCGTCGCCCTGCACCACCAAGGTTTGCTCCCTGATGCCTTCTGCAAAGACGTGCTGAAAAAAAGCCTCCCTTGAATGAATGCTCTTGTGCTGTCCTACCCGCCCCCCTCCCCCCCCCCCAAGGAAAGGGGAGCCACAGCTCCAGCAAAACAGGATTTGGGAGCCCCAGCCCTCCTCCCATAGCTCCCACCAGCCCCGCTTCCTGGCTGTGCCAGCTGGAGAAGACAAGGTGTTCACTGGCACGAAGGGAAAGCACCCACGGGTGTCAGGGAGCAGCTGCTTGAGGCCACGGCGCTGCCATTGGCAGGGTTTGAGCAGAGCCAGATGTGACAGCACAGAGAGCCCCGAGCCCACGGGCACCGCAGCCACCCGACAGCTCGCTGCAAACACAGCCAGAGAGGCCAGAGACAGCGCGAGCAGAAGGTGCCTCTTGGAGGAAGAGGGAGCAGAGCTGCGAGGGGTCTGGGGGGGAAAAGCTGTCAAGGCTTCCGGGAGCCTGCAAACCCCGAAAAGCAAACCTGAGCAACCCGACAAAGCGATGCTGGGAGCTCTTCGCACCCGACGGCGGGGAAGAGCAGCCAGGAGTGGGGGTCACGGGAAGTGGAGGTGGCTGGCGACTCTCCTCCTGACCCTGGAGTCCCCCAACATGGGTCACAAACCCCGGCAGGAAGGAGGAAGCTGAAGCCAAGCTGCCAAACCGGCACCACGCGTTAGAAAAAAAAAAACCAAAAAAAAACAACAAAAAAAAAACAAAGACGGAGGTTCGGTGCTGCGAGAGCCCAGATCTGAGCCCTGGCCCAGGGCAAAGCCACAAAACCTCCCCAAAACAGCTCGGTTCGCCACGTGAAAGCCGCAGGCTTCACCTGGTATCAACCGACTCCCGCTACAACCCACCTACAAAGAGCCAGCAGCTCGGGGAGCCCCAGGAAAGAGGCCCCCCACACCTGCACCCTGATTTCAAACTTTAAGGTAATCGCAAAGAAATCCTGGTTTCGGTGGGCAGGGCTCCGCGCTAGCCCTTTCAGGCCTCTTAATTGAAGCAATTAATGTTTAGTTATTCATTATTATTGGTGAGATTTGGGCGAAAACTTCAACTATTCTGATAAGCGTGAGGGACTTTCTCCACTTTATCACACATCTGATTAGAAACACCCTTAGGCACCTGTCGAGAAAACGTAAGCTTGGAGAGTTGCTGTATTTTTTTTTGTTTGTTTGTTTTCAAACAGGTATTTATTGCTGAGATGGTTTGGATTACTTTCAGCTTCCCACCACCACAGGCGGAGCACAGGCAACGTGAATACACAGAAGGGGCCGAAGATGAAAGTGAGGAAAGCACCTCAAAACCAAACCCGAGCGTGCCACACAGCTTGATGAAAGGATCGAATTCCTGCAGAATTCATGGAGGTTTGGCTGAGGTGTCTTCTCGGCACCTACCCTGAGGAAGAGGCACCAAAATCAACTCCACCTACGTACCAGGCATCAGAAAGCAGCCTTCTCCTCCACGCCGCGGCCGGCTGGATTAAGCAGGACAGACGTGAAGGAAGGAAGCCTGTCCTAGGCAGGATGAAACCAGGGATTAAGGAGCTTGAACTCACTTTCCCCTCGGCGCTGCGTATGCGGAAAGGGAGCTGTCAGGTTTCAGCTTCTCGCACCAAACCAGTGACACTGGAAGTATCAAGGCCGGGGCAGGGGGACTCTGCTCCTCCACCAGCCTCAGAGGGAGCGTGGCCAGACCCCAGACCCCCCGGGGGGAGGCTGCGGCGACGGCAGCGGCGCCCCTGCACGTCACACTAAACCAGGGAAATTACCAAAACGCAAAATTGCCAACCGCGCCGTCAGCGCGGTACAACCCGCAGCACCTTCAGTCTGGGGGCACCTCCCGTAAGGAAACCAGCCTCAGCAGGAAACTGCCATCCCCCAAAAAAATCCTCAGAAAAGCACATTCAGCTCTAAGAAACCTCAGTCTTCCTCAGGAAAAGGTCTTTAATGCAACTGGTTAAATACCTCAAGAAGCATTTAACTTTCCTCCTTACCAGCTCTTTTACTATACTGCCACGATTTTCTCACAATAATTATATAAGATATTTGACTTCTAATTCACATTGCTGTTTAATGTTTTATCGGATCATCAGCTCCAACAGCCGAGGGCAATGCTATTTTAAAATCCACCTAACTCCTGAACCCCAGTCAAAGGTGCCATGCAACTTATCTATTCTTAAGCAGCCATAACACCCAAGCAGCATGCCTATTTGTTTCACAACAGCCAATACAGATATCATCTCTTCTGCTCCTGAATTCATCCTATGCAGACCATTGGTTAACACAAGGATAATGAGAGGAAGTCCCCGTTCTGCCCACCACTCTCTGCAGGCCCTTCAAAAATATTGAGGAGCGTAAATAGTCTGTGAAAATCACCCCTGTGCAAGAAAAAGTGTTAAGCATATGCACTACTTCAGCAGCCCTCAAACACCGAAGGCTATAGAGAATCTAATAATGTAATGATTTAATTATGATGAGCTAACGCTCTGCAAGAGTTAATTTTGCTGCCTTAATAAAGCTGGGGAGGACCCTGCTATCAAAAGGAAAGGCTTCCCGCAGGCAAGAACCCGTGTGTTTGGGGGAAAACAGTATCACTAAGGTAAAAATATTTTTTTCTCTTCACCATCATCTCGGCTCCCGGCACCACCTGGGTTCAGCAGCGACAGCGTCTGAACCGCGTACCTCGTCCCGTACATATTTCCAGAGAACTCTGCGTGCTCGATGAATTCACCAGCATCGATTTCTTTCTGCATGTCCTCTCTGGTCACAAAGTGGTAATCTGGATAGAGAAAACAGGGAAAAAAAAAAAAAAAACAGGCAGAAATGAACCGCTTTGAAGGTAAAGTTCATGGTCAGAATGACACCCGGGGGTGCTAAGGGGAGAAGCGTCTTAAAATCTGCTTTGGACAACTAATTACTGTGTACAGCATCCCCTGCTCATAACAACTGCCCAGACACCTGCTCAAAATGTTTTCAAGTTTTCTGTGCGGCCAAAAATCCTGCTGTACCCCTTTTTTCATACCCTTTCCCCTTTCTGGCGCAGTGGGAACCTCCCCCTCTCTCCCCACAGGTGTGGAACGCTTTACAGCAGGACTGCCAAGGCCCTTAATTTGAAAGCGTTTATGATTAAAGACTAGAACGGGACAAGGGAGAGGGGGGGGCAATAAAAGGCAACATCAAAATCAAATGAACTACAAAGGAACGTTTCTCTTTTGTTAAAATTCCTCCCTTTCACTTCCGAGTGAAACCTGCCATTGGAAATCAAGAACAAACCTCATTTGAGCCTTCCTGAAATACACAAAAACAAACCAGAAAACAGAAAAGCAGCTGGACCCGAGCTATTAATACAGATAAAGACACCTCATTAAGCAGTTGCGTTTCCCAAAGCAGTGTGTATTCGAGGTATCTCACCAGAGCTGCCTGGCACTTTGGAAAAAATCAAGCTACTCAATGCCTGAGTACGGACCAGGGCGCATAAATCGAGAGCTCTGCTTTGAAAACCTCAGTCAGAGAATCACGGTGTCTAGACAAGAAAACTGGCAGCACATGCTCTGCCCCCGTTAACGTTTCACCGCGTAATTAAATTTTGGTTTCGTTCTGTCCAAGTCCATCGCTTTGTTATCTTCTCCTCAGCACGTGGCACATGCTGCAGAACAGCAGTAAATGGCTACGGACTAACGGCCACTGAGAGAGAACAAATGTGTGCGTACGCATGCCTGTTTATATACACATATACCCACACACCCTCAAATGTACTGTCTTGGGTTGGGTGAGTGGTGGAGTTTTTTGGTGGCAGGGGAGGGGGCTATCGGGGCGGCCCCCTGTGAGAAGCTTCTCGAAGCTCCCCCAGCTCCACGTCAGCTCCACTTCTGTTTGGGAAATTGAGCCAATCGGCTGCACCTCTGCGATAACGTATTTAAGAAGGGACGTGGTGACGGGCAGTGGGACTTGTGAGGAGGAGTCGCTGCAGCTGCGTGAACACCAAGGTCAGTGGAGGAACGGAGGAAGAAAGGAGGGGGGAGGTGTGCCAGAGCAGAGACCCCCCTGTATCCTGTGGGGAGACGGCAGGGCGGCCCCCCCTGCCACCCATGGAGATCTACGGTGGAGCAGACATTGATTTATGGCCTGTGGCTCCTGCTCTGCTGATCAAGGGTCTGTGCCCGAAGAAGGCCGGGGTCTCATGGGAAAAGGCAGCCCCGCTGCTGTAATTCAGTGCTGGGAGGATTGCAGCATGCGGGGGAGTCCCACGCCGGAGCAGCTCGGGACGGGCTGCAGCCGTGGGAGGGAATCCAGTCGGAGGAAGTTAGTGACCCATGACGGAGCAGTGTGGGGAACTCTGCGGCCCGTGGGAGGAATTCAAGTCGGGGAAAGTTTGTGGAGGACTGTCTGCTGTGAGAGGGGGACCACGATGGCGCAGGAGGAACAAGTTCTGGACACTCCCCTCACCGAAGATGAAGGAAGTGGCAGCGCTGACTGCACCCCCCATTCCCTGCCCCTGCGCCACTGGGGGAGGAGGTAGAGATATCGGGAGCAGAGCTGAGCCCGGGAAGAAGGGAGGGGTGGGGGGAAGGTGTTCTCAAGATGTGGCAATGCTTCTCACTGTCCTACTCTGTTATGTGTTGTTAGTAGCTGTAATAAATCTATGTTCTTTTTTTTCCTTCCCCTAACGAGTCTGCCTTTTGCTCGTGATCATAAAAGGGGGATTTTTCCCCATCCCAGTCCTATCTTGAACCCCAAGCCTGGCTCTCTGTCCCTTCTCATTGCCGGAGGGGAAGAGAGAGAGAGAGCTGCTGCATTGTGGTTGGCTGCCAATCAGGCCTAAACCACGACACATATCATTACTGCATGTCTGCCTAGGGAAATGCACCCTATAAACGTAAATGGAGGACTAACTTATCTGCCAGGGGGGATTCATGCATGCACTTCACATAAACTTATAGTTTTTGAGAGGAATTATTTGCCAAGTCCAAGGAGACAGGCCCAACTGCAACACACTCACCTTTGCCATTCACTTCACCGGGTCTTGGCTCCCTCGTGGTATCTGCAAGCAAAGAACAGCCTTGCAAACTTTGTACGCCGCCCGAGGAAGTAAGAGCATCAAAGAAATAAAAAGCACACACGCGGATTAAGCCAACCACGTCGTAAGCCGATCCGCTATTTAAAATGATCAAAGCTTCTGGAATCAGCTCGTGTGACACACGACGACGCGCAGGACTGGCCTTTAATCGAAGAATCCTACATAATCTGAAAACAATCAATTAAGATTGTTGGGGGCTGAGCGGTCAGTGTGGGACTTACCAGGCTGGGCTTAAATTTTCAGCTCTGCTCCAGCCTTCCTGTGTAACCCTAGACACGTTACTCGCACCTCTGCCTCAGTTCAGGGGAATTAGCGGTGCCCTGCTTTGAGGAGTTATCTTCGCTTCAAAAGATCGTGTGCAGCACCTACACGGGTGCTTCAAATAGCCAGATTTCCTGAATAAGGGCAAACTCCTGCACGAGGCAGGTGAATAAATCAGCTTTTGAACCCTGCTGGGAGTCGTTCAAGCTAGTATTGTTTCAAGCCCGGGCTCTGCAAACCAAAAAGGAGCTGACGGTCATCACGGAGGGCAACACCGATGATTTTATTGAGGATCAGCAGGAGTTAACCCAATGCAATAAGGCACCAATCACCTGTAAGTTTTTATAAAGCACCAGTTGCCAAGGTTTAAGTGGCTTGCGGAGATTTAGGAAAAAAAAAAAAAATATATATATATATATATCTACCAAGAAGCAACCGTGGGGAAAATAAGACTTAGTTTGGACTGAGATGAGAGATTCAGTTGAAGCAAAAGTATAGGATGAAACACACAAAAGGAAAGAGAATTTTAAGTTTCTTTCATCTGCAGTAACATTAAATTTTTAAAGATCCAATATTTCCTCTTTCACAGTGGAATGAATCCGATCTCACAGATCTCAAAGCAGTATCCAAAGCGCTAGGACAGTAAAAAGCCCCAACATTTTGGTAATGCACTTATAAACACCTTACGGAGCTCCAGGGAAAATCAGGCGAATGAGCTGTGGACACAGCCCAGACTCTGAGGGTAACCTTTAAGGCATCGCTCATGACAGAGGAAACAAAATTAGTATTGCAACAGGCAACCTGCCTGAAGAAAACTCCCTGCTCTTCCTCGGTTGTGGGCACAGGAGGGCTTCAGCAGCGCCTGCAGGTGTGAGTGGATCGAGCCAGATGGCCAGGGGTTATTTTCACATTACAGGGAACCATCCCAGGTCAAGAAAAAAAAAAAGGAACCTCAGGCAGCACTGACGTGGAAAAAGTCATCAAAGCACCAGAGCGATGGCAGGAGGAGGAAGGAACATACATAGGTGATGGGGCAAACTGTTTCGCTGACTGACCCCGTGATGAGCTGGGCTTCATAAAACTCTTTTCATTTTAAATCCGAGATGGGTGTGCAGCCCCTGGGCTGTTAAAATCCCCATCAGCTCCCACAGGAATTGGCTTTTGAAGCAGAGGTGGGTGTGCGTGTGTGGGGGGGTGGATTTTGTTCCTTTGAGAGTCAAGAATCACTCAGAAAAAGCTCCTCAACCTCTCCTGAGCTGTGCTTAGAGGCGTGGGGAGTCACCAGACCTGGAAAGAGCGCTAGTCCGGACAGATCTTAGACTTGCCACTCAAAACCAGTAGCAAAAGGCATCCTGACTTATTTAAACATCCCAAAAAGCCTGCAGACAGCCTAGGACACAGGCAAGCCAAGGAAGCCCGTTGCTTGGGGCACGAAGGCAGCTACAGAAGCAGGCTCTGGGCTAGCGGCCCTCAACTCCTCCACTGCCCTTCCCCACAGACATACGGATACTCACGGGAGACGCTGAAGCCGAAGATGTTCTCGTAATCTTTAAGCAATTTCTTTAACAAAGTGCTCTTCCCTGCACCCGATGGGCCACTCAGAACTACCGGCCTTGGTCCCTGCATGGCTACAGAGACAGAAAAACACACGTTTGGTTAGAAACACCCGTGGAAAGCCACAGCTATGGATTCCCAGCAGTGCTGGGCCCCACAGAACCGTGTCTCTCTTCAGATACAAGTTTCTGCAGGCAAATCTGAAATGTTGAAACATCGCAAGCCTAGAGCTGATAGGAAGTAACGGAGCGCAGGAAATGCCACCAAGGAAAACGCAAAGAACTATTAAATTTGCAAACTCTGTACTGCTGCAAGAGATGCAGGCTGGGAGCCCTGAGGACTCGGATATCATTTTGGAAAGTGGACACGGGGACAGCTTCACCTTGCTTTGCTGCTGGCCCCAATTCTTCCCCGGGGAACAAATACCTCAGATAGATAAAGGACACGTACCGCTGCCGTGTGAACATTCGTTCTCAAGGGACTGAGGTCAAACTCATAGGACATAAACCAAATGAGGGGGAAACTGAGCTCCAGCTGCCACTAAAGTGGGATAACTCAAGCCAGCTCGATCCTTTGTCACCAGAGTTGGGTCTCTCTGGGACCTAAATCCTAGGGAAAACGTTCTCTAACAGGAGGGAAATGTTTTCTGTGCCTGGTGGCATTCAGAAACATCGTGGGACGTCCACACACACTGGGCAACGCCTGCTTAATACTTATCCTTCCTGGATAGTGGCAGTCCCAGCCACTTCCCTCTCACAGGGAGAAGCCTCGGGAGAGTTTGCAGGAGATGCTGGCAAGAAAAAAGGGCAGAAATCAGCCAGCGTTCGGCATACACAGCTCCGAGCGAGGGATGGGATACCTGTGAGATCACCACACCTCTTGTGTTACCCAGTTACACCCTAACGAGTACAAACCACGAGCCTGTGATGGGCAGTTACACGTTTCCTATCAGTCCTGGGATAAATATCCACGCGTAAAGCCTTTACCATCAGCAGCCAACGTGCTGAAGCCTAGACCCGAAAGCCCAGCCTCGTCCTCCGCCGCTAAACCCCAAAGCCTTGCCACAACAGTCTGAACACGGGTGTCATCTGGGACATGAACGTGCTCTGAGGTTTATTTCCGTATTTCCTGGAGCGTTTACTCCAGCTCAGGGTGTGTCATGGCAAGAGAGAAGGGTTTGGTTCCTGGTACAGGAGAAAAAAAAAAAAAAAAAAAAAAAAAAAAGGCAGCCTGGGGCCACACAGACCTTTCTGCAGTTGTTTCTTCAGCCAGAAAGAAAAAAAAAAGAAGGAAAAAAAAAAAAAAAAAAAAAAAAAAGGGTGTTTTCGTGTGCCTGCCTCTCTAGGGAGGAAGAAAGGTTAATTATCAACATGTGAATAAAGAAGAAAATCCTGTACGACAGCGCAGGGGGTACCGCTGGGAACCTTCATCCATCAACAGCAATTTAGCAACTTCGAAACCAGAGAACCAGAGGTGATGACGAGAGCAGGAGAAATCAAACCAATCCATTTTTCCTATTTAAAAACAATTACGTTCTGGCAAGCAGTAAAACCCCTGGAAGTGCTTTTTTTTTTTTTTTTTTTTTTTTTTTTTAACCTCACTGCCTGGGTGCGGCCTCAGGATCAATCAGCTGACAGACAGTCTAATGCCTTTCCATTTTAAATTAGATCATAGCAATGTCACCCTGACCTTACAAATCACTTTTTAAACAGCCTTAAGCCTTGCAAAATCAGCCGCAGACCATGGGGAGGGTTAATCTAGCTGGGCTGCCTCCCTGACCCCAGCCCGCGTGGGCTGGGTACCTCCTCATCCCTAAATCCCTCCTGCACAGCTCCAGGTCGGGCAGACACCCGTCAGGCAGCACTACAGCTGGCAAATAAAAGGAGTTTTTCCCCTCCGTTCCCTGAGGATGTTTTGTACTTGGCTGACCGGAGTTTATCTCCAAGCCTGGAGGAAAGCACACGGTGTTAATCCACAAAGTCTAAGCAGATGCTGGGAGCAGCTAATGTGGTCGTGAAAACACCCCTGTTCAATCACCATCCCAAAAGGAAACTTTTGTTTGTTTGTTTGTTTTGCTGTTAATGTCCCCCTCAGGTGTTGCAGCCCCAGAGACCCACCAGATCAGACCTTCTCTGGGGACCTCAGAGGACCAGTCCCCTTGTTAGCTGCAAGGCCATGGATGAAGCTTCGTCATCGGAAAAAACACAACCCTAGGAAGTCTTTTGGGGGGACCTGCGCGACCTTTTCCTTAAGCCTCAAGCTTTGCTAATTTTCAAATATCATAGGTTTCCCCTAAAAGTTCAATACCAAGAGGAAAGCACGCCCTCCTGCACCCTCTCACCAGCAAAATGCTATTCAGTGCTCGCACCAGAGAGGTCCAAAACATCTCCCTCTTCTGCCCCTGCCAGTTCCTCTCCCCCACCCGAAGAAAACAGGTGAGCCCTAAGCACCGCTCCCGAAAACAATCCAGAAGAGGAGCCACACGAAGTTCGTTGCACCTCCAGTCATCCCAGAGCGCTCTGCAACCCGCCTGCTCCCAAACGCTGCTCCTTCATTGCGCACCGGCTTCCTCGGCCGCCGCTGAAAGCCCCGCACGTGGTATCGGGGATGGTTCACCCCTTTCCCTCCACCGTCGTCCCGCTGTGCCAACCAGAACTGCTCCAGATGCACAAGGCCCAGCCAGCACGCTCACATCCCAGCTAAGCGGGCAAAAGAGCTTTCCCCTCTTCCCCCTTCAGAATTTCATCCGCCCTTTAGCAGACACCGACAGGGCGAAGGGAATTTAAAGCTGCCCGACCGTTCCATTCGACCCCAGACAAACTGGGAAAAGATGAGAGGAATGGGCAGAGCGCTGGCTAGCAGCAGGCTCCAACACATCCTTACCTTTTGCTTTAACTCCTTTTCAGCCAACGTATAAATCCCAGCTCCCTGCAGCGGCGACAAGCTCGCAATACGAGCGAGGCAGCAGAAAGCCGGGCTATTTGTGAGCTGCCTAAAGCCTTTAATTACCGAGCTGCAATTTTCAGATGGCCAATGAAAACCTCTCGCTGGTCTTTAATCTCCCCTCCTGGTTTCTTCTCCTCTCCCTGCTCTCCCAGCTGGTAAAGCTGCGGTCAAACGCCGCTAATGGGTGCCGGCCTGGCGCTTCGGCAAACGGGGAAACCATCCTTGACTCTGCACGTCACCTCCCGGCTGGCACGGCCCCCCAACAGGCACCAAAAAAAAAAAAAAAAAAAAAAGAGCTGTGGGACCTCCTGGGCAAAATCATCGTTGAGGTTGGAGGGACCTCAGGAGGCGTCCAGCTCACCCTTCTTCTCCACCGTAGCGCGGCTTTAGCCCGTGAGCAAGTGCTGGTGCCCACGGAGACCAAGAACGGACGGGCTCGTGGGCAAGAACGCACGTCGGGCTTAAAACCCAGGGTGTAAAGCTGCTACACTCACCCCACGCACCCAACCGCTGCGTGCTTGAGGCAACAATTCCAGAAGAATGCTCACTCTTGGTTTCAGCCAGGATTTCGCCTTCTGCAGGCAAAGCTCCTCTTCTTTTGGTCTTGAAGCCTGCACGGCTCTTGCCTCCAGCCGCTGCTTCGCCCCAGGCCGATGATTAAGCTACTTCTCCACCACACCAAGTCGACAGGAAAACTTCTCTTGCCCACGCAGCTCCAAATGTGTCCCAGCATCTCCATGGTGGGTCCTTGCGGGGTCCGTGCTGGTGGTGCTTTTCTGCCTGAACGAGCAGTGGTGGGGCGTCAGGGAAAGATAGAGACGCTCTCCTTTATTTTATTTTTTTTTTTTTCCCCACAAAAATACTCAGAACTGAAGTAAAAAGGCACACGGGTTGCAATCACAGGTCTCACTTCTACGAGAAATGGGCTAAACCAAGGGACTTGCAGTTGTTTCCTTTTCCCTCCCTCCAAGAGCAACCCTTCTCCTTTGCTGGATTGCTCCAGAGGAAAACAAGATGCAATTTAGAGGGGGGGAAAAAAAAAAAAAAAAAAAAAAAAGCCATTTCTACTGCCAGATGAAGGGGCTGGGCCCTCGTGGGCAGCAAACAGCAACCACCCAGGTGGCAAACTGGGAATGTGGGTCAGCACAGAGCAAAACCAGCTCGCATAGAGCATTTCTGGCAGGCGCCCACCACCCGACACGGTGCAGGATTTAGGGGGGCAGCTGCTCGGGGCCGGAGAGGCAAAGGGTGAAGATGTCCTGGGAGGGTGAACAGAGGAGAATCTCTGCCTCGAGACACGAGCAGCACAGACGTGGGAGCGGGTGCCCTCCCCTCCACCATCAGATTTGCTTAAACACGTGCCCAGACCCCGAGAAATCTCTCGTAACCATGAGCCGGTCTGCACAGCGGTATTATTGCCCTCACCAGGCTGCTCCGCTCCCCCAGCCCCATCAAACACAGCTGAAACCCTCAAAAACCACAAAAAAAAAAAAAAAAAAAAAAGACTGAGAAACCAGACCTGGTGGATACGAGGCTTTTTAAATCTCCTGTTTGGTTCCCAGCCCAGTAAGGCATCACATACATCACGCTTTCAATCCGTCTGCAGCAGTGGCATGACAGGTACATACTTATTTTGAGCAAAAGCTCATTTTTTTTCCCAGTTTTCTCACATTTTGGCGTTTTCCGAGCAAATATCTAGCACAGAGGGTCTCTCGCCTCCACCAGGTTGCTCCTAAAATGGTTTTGGATCCAGCCTAATCACCAAAATCACCCAAAACCACAGCGGGCTGGAGTCTGTCAGTAAGATTTAATAAAGAGCCTCGTATTTTGGGAGGTGCCACACCTGGGACTGAGCACAAACGGCCACACAGACCCCGCCGGGCTGCAAAAAGACAAGGTGGTCACTGAAGGAGGAGGCGGGAGGTTGTCACTTAAGAGTGAGGAACGTTTCTCAGTCGGCTCCTGCCTGCTAAATTTGCCCTGGATTCTAACTGGGAGGTGGCAACACGACCAGAAAAGCAAAGGACAGACATCACAAGAGTTAAACAAAATCGATGGTGATTAGCAGAGAGGCTTTACAGAGAAGGTAAAGCTCCCTTATGAAGTAGAAAACGAGATTAAAGGACAGTTTCCCTGGAGCCTCGAGAAAGGTCTCCTGGATTAGGATTATAATCCCATTCCCTATTTTTAGCAGGTTCGTTATAAAACCGCCACTGCCCCCTTCCTGAATTTTGTGACCCTTTCTGCAAAACCCAGCCCGGCCAGCTTGTACAAAACCACAAAGTTTGGCATTATCCGAGAGCCGGGAAAGGGGTCGGGGGCTGGGATGTCTGCGAGGGGCTTTTCCGACCCTGATCCGGGCGGGCGAAAGCTCCGGAGCTTCGTTTGCAGTTTCACAGCTGGGGGTTGCTTAAATAAAGGGGATTCTTTTGCAGAACTGAACCAGGAGCAGAGCATCCCCGCCGCCGTGCCGCCCGGCTAACCTTGTTCTTGGAAATAATTATCGCCAAAGGACTAATTGGCCCCTGGCTTCGCGGGGAGCAAGGGGGCAGGAGGAGGAGGAGGAAGAACGACTCGCTGAAGGAATCGGCTCCAAGACCGTCTCCCACTGCCAAACTGGGCCAGTTTGACCGACCAACCGGTTCCAAGCCGCTGGGAGAACGTCTACCGAGGTGAAGCGCAGCCGGGGAGGGGGGGGGGGGGGGGTTCCACCGTCCCCCTTCTCCCTCGCAGAGCTTTATTTTCGGGTACCTGAAGGGTGCTTAACCCCCCACCCCCCAAAAAAAAAAAAAAAAACAACAAAAAAAAAACAAAACAAAACAAAACAAAAAAAAAACAAAACAAAAAAAAAAAAAACAAAAAACAAAAAAAACCCCAAAACGCTTTACCTCACCGCCTCGCGCGGTCCCCCCCCAAAACCAACCGATTCAACGCGCGAAACCCCCTTTTGTCCCGTTTAAACGCGGGGGGGGGGGAGGGGGGCGGTATCTTAGCGACACCCCCAAACAGCGCGACCCCTCCGCACCCCCCCCCCCGGGGGAAGGCGGGAGCTCCGCACCCCCCGGGCCGGGCCCCCCCCCCCCCCGGCCGCGCTCACCCGCCGCCCGGGCGATGGCGCCGCGAAGCCGCCGCCAGCTCATGAGGGGGGATGGGGGGGGTTGGGGAGGGGGGGGGGGGGAATTCGGGAGGGGAGGGGGGGTGGGTGTGGTGTGTGTCAATCCCGGCAGGCTCCGCGTTCCCGCCGGCGCGCCCTGACGTCAGGCGGGAAGAGGAGCGCGGCGCGCCGGAGCGGTGCGGTCACGTGGGAACCAGCGGGGCGGGGGGCGCCTGCGATTTACCCATGATGGGGGGGGGGGGGGCGAGGGGGGAGTTGTGGGTCGTGCCATTATTTGGGGGGGGGGGGGGGGGGGGGGGGGGGGGAGGGGGGCGTTGGGTTGAATCACAGCGTGGGGGGGTGGGGGGAAAGTGACCCTGGTCTGAACCATTGTCGGGCGGGGGAGGAGGGGCTGTCTTGGGCTCAACCATTTTGGGATGGGGGGGATATGGTGGGGCTGAACCATTGTGGGGAGGAGGGGCCTGTCTTGGGCCGAACCATATTGAGGTGTGGGGTAGGTACGGTGGGGCTGAACCATTGTGGGGCGGGGGAGGACGGGCTGTCTTGGGCTCAACCATTTTGAGATGGGGGTATGGCGGGGTTGAACCACTGTGGGGCGGGGGAGGAGGGGTTGGTTTGGGCTGAACCATATCGTGGTGTGTGGCGGGGGTTATGGTGGGGCTGAACCAGGATTGAGGTAGAGGGAGCCGTGGTAGGACTGAACCATAGCGGGGAGGGGAGGGGGGGGAGGAGTCATGGTGCGGCTGATCCGCAGCGGACGCGCACACACCTGGGGGGGTTGCGGTGGGATGGGGACACGGCTCTGTCACCCCACAGCCCCCCCCGGGCCAGCACCGTATCCCCCATAAATCGCCTCACCTCCTGCTCCCCTTCGCCTGGAGGCTCCGGCCTCGAGCAAGATGGCGGCCGCAAGCCGGGCCCTGAGGTAAGAGCCGGCGGTGACCCCTTGGCCGGGCAGCCGCCTCCTTTCCTGAGGTAACCATGTGCTTTCCTTCACGTAACCCGCCCCCGGCGACGCCTCCCGCCCTCACACCCCTGCGCCGCCTCCTCCTTCCCCTTCCCGCCAGCGCCCTGCGCCTCGACGCCGTCCCCCGCCTGCGGCCGGCCGCCCTCCTCGCCCTCAGCCGCCACAACTCCAACCGCGCCGCCATCTCCCACCTCCACCGTCAGCTCTACGGCCGCCTCTACCCGATCCTCCTGGTCAAGACCGACGGTTCCACCATCCGCCTCCGCTACAAGGAGCCGAAGAGGATCCTCATGGTGAGGCGGGGGGAGGGGGGCAAGGCTGGGGGGGAGGGTGTGTGAGGCACTGACGGAGGTTTCACGTTGGTGTGTGTGTGTGTGTGTGTCCCCCAACTCCTCAGCTGCCCCTGGACAGCAGCACCCTGCCTGAGGCGGAGCGCAGGGCTCGGCAGCGGCGGCATTTCCCCAGAAAACAGATGGCCGAGCCGGAGGAGACCTTTGAAAGCATCGACCTGGCCACCTACAAGCGGTTCTGGAAGAAGTGAAGCCCTGAAATAAAATTTAAAAGCAAAAAAAAAAAAAATAATAATAATTCCAAGAAACGAGTGGTGCAGCTTTCTGTGCGTGTGGGGTTGTGGCTCGGTTCGCGGCTGAGGGAGCGCGGCGGCGCGACTCCCCTGCCCCCCCCCCCCCCCCCCCCCCCCCCCCGGTTCGGCGCGATGGTATCGCCCGTTTCGCTGTTTCTCCCGCAGCTCCCCCCGTCGCTGAGCGCGCGGTGGTAACGGCGGGAGGGCGCGCGGGCCCGGAGCGGCGCGCGAGGTGCGTGCTGGGGCGGGGGGGGGGGAGGGTGCGTGTTGGTGCGTGTGTGACCCCGCGATTCGCAGCCGCTTTCTTCCCCCCCCCAACCCCCCCCCCAAAAAAAAAAAAAAAAAACCAACAAAAACCACAAACTGCCCCACTCCCCCCAGCGGGGTGGCGGCTGTGTAGCCCCTGGGTGTGCAGTGACACCCGCCCCCCCCCCCCCCGCGGGCCTTTACACCCCCCCCGGGACGTGCAACCCCCGCACCCCCACCCCCCCCCCCAAATCGTGCAACTCCTCCGGGGGCCGTGACACCCCCCACACCCCCCAACTTCCCCTGAGGGTGTGCAACCCCACCCCCCCCCCAAAAGACGGGCACCCCCCAAAAAGTCTCTGGGGTTGTGCAAACCGCCCCCCCCCCCCCCCCATTTTCCAGGCTGTACGACACCCCCGGGATTTCAGTGACCCCACCGACTCCACGGGGGGGGTGGGGTGGGTGTGGTGTGTCCACATTTGCTTCCCCCCCCAACAAGACACACACACCCCCCGGGGGGGGGTTGGTGGGGGGCAAACCCGGGGCTGACCCCCCCCACCCCACACCTTTGTAGGTCACCAACACCCCCCCACACACCCCCCCCCCCGTGACACCACTGTGGGGCCCGGCACCATGTTCGGCTCATCCCGAGGGGGGGTCCGGGGGGGCCAGGACCAGTTCAACTGGGAGGACGTCAAGACGGACAAACAGCGTGAAAACTACTTGGGTAAGTGCTGACCTGGCTTGAAAAAACCACCCCCCACACACACCCCCCCTCCCCGAGGTGATTTTTGGGGTGCGGATGGAGGATTTTGGGTCTGATGGTGTTCTGGGGGGGGGGGGGGGTGGTGTCTCTTTTCTTCCTCCCCCCCCAGGGAACTCTCTGATGGCGCCCGTGGGCCGGTGGCAGAAGGGGAAGGACCTGACTTGGTACACCAAGGGCAAGAAGGAGACGGCCCCCCCGTTATCCCGCGAGGAAGAACTGGCCGCCGTCCGCCTGGCCGAGCAGGAGGCCATGATGGCAGCTCTGTAAGCCTGCACACACAACCCCCCCCCCAAAAAAAAAAAAAAAAAAGGGGGGTGCAAAGCATCACCCCCCCCCCCCCCCCCCATCACACCATTTTATTTCCACAGTGGCTACAAGAACGTGAAGCGGCAGCCCACCGCCCTCAGCAAGGAGGTAAGAGGGGCCACCCCGCTTCCCCCCGAGCATCACCTTGGCTCTGTGGTGGTTTTTTTTTTTTTTTTTGGGGGGTGGGGGACACACCCACCCACCCAACCCCACCCCACCCCCCCCACGGAGGATGTTCTTCCCCCTCCCGCAGGACCTGGCCGAGGTGTGCAAGCGGGACGGCGCCGAGCGGGACGAGAAGGACGTGGATCGGGTGGTGGGCTTGGGCAGCTCCAGGTACGAGGGGGGGTGTGGTGGGACAGCCCCTGCACCCCATTTCAGGGCAATTAGATTTTTATATTTTCTCATTTTTAGGCTTTTTTGGTTTTGTTTTGTTTTGTTTTTTTTTTTCTGGGGGTGGGTTATCTTCTCATTGCGTGACTCCCCGCGGCGACGTCTCTCCCCAGCGGCAGCGCCGGCCGGGTGATGCTCTCCAAGGAGGACAAGGAGGCAGCAAAGATGGGGCTCTCCGTCTTCACGGTACGGCATGGGTCACATCTTCCTTTTGAGTTTTTTTTAAAAAAAAAAAAAAAACAAAAAAAAAAAACACAAAGAAAAAGGCAAAAAGCCCTGCCCCGCGCTCAGGATGTTTCATTTAAAACCAAAGCTGGTGGTTGTAGCGCAGAGACCTGCAAGAGTTCCCCGTGTCCTGTTTGCAAAGTTAATTTCTTGGTTTAATTTGGAAGGAGCTCTTGTGGGGATTTTAATTTTTTCGGAAATGCAATTTTTTTTTTTTTTTTCCCAAACAATTTTAATTTTTAAAGGGAAAAAGTCCCTTTTTCTTGTAATTTGAAGCTACAGGCTCACGGACTCGCTCTGTATTTTCCCCTCTCTTCCGACCCTAGCACCAGAAGGTCTCCAGCAGCCCCGAGACGTCTAGCTCCAAGAAGAAGCAGGAGAAGGAGGAGAAGGTGGAGGAGAAGCGGTGAGGATGGTCCTTTTTTGGGGGGGAAAATCACCTTTTTTGGAGGGGAGGAACGTTTTGCAAAATGCTTCTACGGCTCCGTTTCACATCAGGCTTGTTCTGCATGTGCCTGAATCACCCCCAGAATAACTTTTCTTGATGTTTTTTTGTTTTGTTTTATTTTTCTGGGGGTTTCTTGTTGGCCACGGAGGTGGGATGAGCCCAGCGGGAGGGATGGGGATGAGTTTTTGGAGGCGGCGGCGGCGGGATGCGCAGGGCAGGGATCCTCACTGCTTGAGCTCCTCCCCGCAGACCGGAAGGCGGCAAGAAATCCAAAAAGGAGAAAAAGAAGAAGAAAAAGAAGAAACACAGGAAGGAGAAGAAGAAGGACAAGCATCACAAGAAGGATGCTGCCTCGTCGTCTTCTGATTCTTCTCCGGACCGGGATGAGAGGTAGCTGGGTTGGGATGGGGGGTGTCCCCTGCCACTGTCCCCCTCCCCACAACCAGGACAGCGCTGGGAAACAAAACGAAGGATTTAGGCGAGCCGCCCGGTCACGGCTCCTGTCAGCTTTCCAAAAATCCCTCTTTTTCATCCCCCACACGGGCTCGTTGGCGTCCCCCGTTGTCCCTCCGTCACGAATCCCCCCTTCCCCGCCCCGTAGGCACCACCGAAGGAAAACCCAGCAGCGCGGCAGCCGGCGGCGGCACGACACCGATTCCTCCGGCGACAGCCCCTCGCGGCGTCCTGCCCGCCGGCGGAGCCGGGACGACCGCGGTCACAAAGGGAGGAAGAAGAGGAGCAGGAGCAGGTCCCCTCCAGCCCGGGGGGTCAGGCAACGCCACGACACCGATTCGGAGGACTGAGAGGGAGCCTGGGGTTCTTCCGGGGAGATCTCCACATAACTCAAACATATATATATATATATTTTTTTTTTTTTTAAAGGTTATTAAATTAAAGCCACAGCTCTGCGGTTGCTGGTGCTGAGTCTGGCGAAGGGCATGATGTTGTGGGGTGCTGGCTCCCTGCAATGTGGGGCAGCACCAGCAGCCCCCCCCTACAACTTTTGCCCCCAGCCGTGGAGGGGGGACAGCAGGTACCCAGGCCGTCCTTCTCCTCGCTCCCTGGATCCATCCTGATTTAGGATCCATCATCCGGGGAGGATGCTGCGGGCGCGGTTCTGCCTGCAACGCTGGAAATGCTGCAGACGCCTCGTGTTTACGTAAAGAGACTTGGGATACAGTTGTTATTATTATGTTTTTTTAATATCTTCTTTCGCTGCCACTGGGAAAAGCTGCCAGCGGAGAGGCTGAAGGAGAGTTTCAGCTCCTTAAACCCTCCCTTAAATTAATCAATAAAACCCGGGACTCGCATCGCTGCCGGGAGGGTTTTGAGTCTTGGAACTGATGGGTTTAAGGTGGCCGGGCTGTGGGGCAGCCCTGGGGGGTGGTGGGTGTCCCACGGACCCTCCATGAGCTATGGGTGCTCTCCAAGGTTCATGGACCTTCTCCCTAGGGTGACACGTGCTGTCCAGGGGACATCTAGTCTCCATAGGGCACCCGTACACAGGGGAGAGCACTCAGGGTATCCCCCCCACCCCACCCATGTCCCTGTCCCCCGCGTGGGGATGGAGCAGCCCATCCCCCAGAACCAAGTACCCTCCCCGCTCAAGTTTGGAGAAAATTGAGGGCTTTTTGACTCCAGCGGGGTGCTGGATGCTCAAAACACAACTTTTTGGGGGGGTTAAAGGAAGAAAAAACTGCTGGGACAACCTCTGAAATATCTCCTCGGCTGCCGGGGAAGATGGATGGGGCTGGGGTGTCATCTGTAGATGTTTGTCCTGGTCACATCCACCCCGCAGGGAGGAGTAAGTTCCCTTCCCAGCCAGGATTTTAAACCTCAGACCACGAGTATTTATGTGCTCGGTAGACTGAGAAAGGGGAATTTTACATCCATAAATAGAAATATTGATTCCCAAAATGGAACGGGGGTCGTCCCAAGCAGCTCCAGGCTGGAGCGGCCGTGCCAAGCACCAGGGCCTCAGTTTGTGTAATTAATGATGCAATTTCTCTCTACTTAAGACAGGGTGGTTTTGTGTGCCTTGGTGGACAAAAGCCCCGGGGTTGGCAACCGGCACCATTATCTCATGGGACACACACACCCCCACCCACCACGGCAGGATTGGGGTGATGAGCTGAAATAAAGCCTTTCTGTCCCGCTGCCAGCACGTGCTTCACCCAGCAGCAAGAGAGGCTGCAGGATGGTTGCCAGCTCTGGTGTTTGTGTGTGTCCCCCCCTAAAACACACATTTTTGGGGGGGTTGAAAACATCTTAGCCTAGTCAGAGAGTTGTTATTCTTGCTCTGAGCAGATCCAGCCCGAGGACCCACTGCGTGGCTGCCTGCCCAAGTGGGGTAACCCCGAGCCCACGCGCTCTCTCTGGCTTGGGGTCACCCTCCTGGAGATTTTTTTTTGGGGAGGGGGGTCCAGGCTGCTATTGGTGGCTGCTGGGAGCATCCCAGTGCAGGGGATGGTGGAGCTAGGGTTGTGTTTAACGGGAACTCGGCGCCGGGAGCTCCAGGCTGAAAAGGGAACTATGGGAGAGCTAAAACACCGCAGTGAGCAGAGAGAAGGAAAAAAAAAAAAAAAACAAACCCAAAAAACTTTACCTCCCCTGCTCATTGCTTTTCCCAAGCTCTGTTAAATCCTTGGTGGGGCTGCCCCAGAGCTTTACCAACGCTGAGGAAAGGGGATGGATGGAGCAGCAGAGTCCTGGGGATGAGGGGAGGCAGGGAAGGCTCCGGGTTTGTTCCCCCCTAAGATCACGAATGAGCCAGGGGGAGCGCAGGGAGGGTCAGAGAGAAGGACAAGATAAAAATGATGCGGAGTGCAGAGGGGGGTGAAGGAGCCCAGGCCCAGCCCCATCTCATCTACCGCCCTGCTGAGCTGTTGCTCCAGTTCCTGGGTGGACTGGGGAGAAGCCACACCAGCTCCAACATTTGGCCCTGCTGAAGGGAGCTGGTGTTTCGTGCTCGCCCTCTTCCCTGGGTGTGAGCTGCCTGGCTGGCTAAAACCCCCCCCGGGGGGCCGGCCCAGCGGAGGGCAGGCTCCCCCAGCTCAGATAACATCAGCACATTCCCCATGTTTTCTTCCTTCCAATCCCAACCAGCAGCAAATTCTGGGGGTGGAGGAGCAGGATTTGATGCAGCCGGGCGGCCTGGGTGAAAACCATGCCTTGGGTAAAAACCATCGCCTCAGAGGAGCCTCTCTGCTGCCAAGGGGGGTCAGGGTGCTGCGTCACAGCAGGTCACCCAATTTTTTAAGGACGGAGGGTGAGAGGAGTTGAGGAGGGGGAAAGCTCTGCTTATTTCAGCAAAGCGGCACCAGCAGAAAAAGGGGCCCTTTGAGTTAAATTCCCTCCCAGAACAGAAATAAAGTCCTGCCCTATTAGGCATGCAGAGATCCTGAGTCAGAGCTTGAAATTCAAAGCAAGATGAACATCTTCGGAAGAATAACCTGATTTACAGGAGTTTTGTAATCCCATTGCTTGCCTAATACCATTTACTCTTTACTAACCAGACAAGCGCAAGGAACAGAGAGGGCTGAGGCAGCCCTTGCAGGGGAACCTGAATAAATCTGACTTCCCAGCTGAGGATGGGGCAGAAAACAGTTCAGTTGATGAACCTCTGCACAGAAGAGGACAGTCCTGCAGTAAACCTGTGCTCAGGGTGGGGGCTGCTCTGTGCCCACACGTTAAGCAGCTGCCCTGCTGCCTGAAGGACTCTGAGTCAAAAAACAAACAAACAAACAAAAACCAAAACACATGGGGAGTGAGAAGTGTAATCTGTGGGGCAGAAATCAGATTGTCCAAAAGGTCAGCTCCTGCTTGACACTGAGAAAGCAGAGGCTGGGTCAAGGAGCCTGCAGAGAGCGGCGCTCCCACCTCCTCCTGGCCCAGCTGCGGTCCCCTCCGATACCCAGCCAAAGCTCCAGGTTTCCCCGCCGGGGAAACTGCTTTCCAACCTGCATAACTGACCTTTCGTCTGACAGTTTTCCAGCCTGTGTAACGGGGAATCTGCTGTAACTCCGGCCAGGAAAGCAGCCAGCAGCTGGCCAGCAGCCTGAGCGCGACCAGCAACGAAGAGAAGCTGGAGCTGACGGGGGATCGGCGGGGAGGAGCTCTGTCCCAGGTCCAGAGGGGACTGCAGAAGGGAAAAAATGCAAAACAAGGTGTTTAGGAAAGCAGATTTCCTTTTTTTTTTTTTTCCTCCCAAAACCTGCTAATTGACAGAGACTATTAAGAGGGATCAGCAGGAAGAACAATCTGTTGTGGGAGTGATGGGACTACTCAAGAAGCTCACCAGATGCCCTAGAGGCAATGGACTCCAGCAGAAGCCAACCATCACCAGCCAACAGGACCAAAAAACCACCGCCCACCTCCTCACCTCTGCAGGACTCCAACTAGGACTGACACACCATTTGGGAAATACAGGATATGTCCTGAAATTTTCATGAAAATCGTGACGTGGCGAAACGCTGGTTGGATTTGCGTTAATCTAGCACACGGTCCCTGTTCAAAAAGAGGATACAAACCAACAAGATACCAGTGCAAGTTTCATGAAACTTTTTATTCAACAAGTATTTCATTATGATTCTGCCAAGATGATCGAATGAACAGCAAGGCATAAAAAACATGAAATAGTTAAGAGATTTTATTCTAATAGCTTTAATTACAGTGCTTGTTTGTCGAAATGAAAACTGAAAACAAGTATACAAAACAGTTGATTACTAATTGTGTATTGAAAGCAATAAAGGTTTCCACAACACTAAATAAACCAGTTCTGATAGTTCCTCGAGTTAAAGTTTAACAGCTCCAGCTTCTTCAGTGTTTATCAAAATACAAAAGAAAAGTAAAGAGGTCTTTTTTTCTGATGGCAAATCTGAACCTTGCAGTATGAGGGATGCCAAGGGTTTTCACACATATACAGATATGGGATTGTTCCAAAATGGGATTGAATACTTCTAGAGTGGAATGACTCTCCAAACTCTCATGCTTTTTTTTTTTTTTTTTTTTCCTAGACGCTATACATAGATGTTTGGTGTTTTTCATGGCAATTCTTACGTTAAGTACAGTACTTTCTGCCTATAGAGCTTAGGACTAGTACAGGCTGTGCTTCCTGTGGAAAGGTTTGCCTTCTGGAGTGGCTTACACGCAAGAAAAGTACAAAACACTTTTGACAAATATGACAGGCTAAAAACGTTGACTTCCGGGAAAATTACTGAAGTTCAATGGAAGCAATAAATCTCACCTGAACCAAAAGTCAGATGTTTAGCATGAGTCTGCAAGCTCATCTAAACCAGGTCCGACAAATCTTTTACCAAGTATGAACAGATATGAGCACATTCTACGAGCTACAGAAAGAGCCAGAGATCTGTTAGTTATGATCTGTTCTTTAACCAGGTGAAGCTAATTGGGTCTCAATCGTTGCTCCACCATTTCAGAAGAATCAAAAGTCACCGCATTAGAGCTAGAAGAGCAGAAGCTATGTCAAACGTTTGTATGTTGAAGTGTTTTTACTTTTCCTTGACTATTTAAAAAAATACAGAATTCAGGTTAAAAACCAACCACCAAAATGGATCTCACAGATCTCACAACCCAACCGAGATAGTATTCAGCTCTACTGCACAAGGACCACTGGCAACCCTTATGTTAACCCACTTAAATCCCTTCCAAGTACTAAACAGTGAGTTGATTCTTTACAATAAAAAAGCTGAGTAATATTGCATAGGAGTACCAGAAACTGCCTCATTGGAAACAAAAACTATTTACATTAAATAAGAAACCTAACTGTTTTCAGGCTTGTATTTGCCACATTTACAGCATGATGCAATATATACTGTGACAAAAGAAATGAAAACAGCTTCCGGCACTCAATACCACAAAGTAGCACAGTTTGCCACATTAGAGTAAAGCGAAGGGCGAATAGGAGGAAATAAGAGGGAGGGGTGGAAAAAGAGGGAAGAGGAAGGTTTATGGTTTCATTTCTGGTTTCGGAGCTGATTGGACAACCAGTCCAGTCCTTCATAGAGACCGTCTCCACTAGTGGCACAGGTTGCCTGGATATACCAGTTCCTGTGACGAAGAGAATGCAGTCCAAGTTTGTCTGTGATTTCTGCTGCATTCATCGCGTTCGGCAGGTCCTGAGGGAAGGAAGAAGAGTCATTTTCTCCCCTACTCACTGAGAAGAACTGCCCACCTCCCTAAACCGCTTCTGATCATCAGCTTTAAAGCCATTAAAAGAAAGTTAAGAGCTCTCAGAGCTTCTCTCTTTCAGAAAAGCTCAGTGGATTACTCCAACATTCAAGCTGTTTTT